CCGATATTTTAAGTAAAACAGAAAAAGAGAACTTCAGGCACCAGAATCTGGCTCCCAGCTGTTTGCATTCCTAATTTCGCCATGTTTTTTCACTTTTTCTCATCTCAACTCCTTTCGTACGCTTTGTTCTTGTAGTTCTGCAAAGTATTCTGTCTTTATGAAGGGCTGGTTCATTGATACTTTCACTGATACATTCAGAAGCCATAGCGAGTTACTGTCACAGTATACCGTCGTTTCTGTGTCACAGTTAATCTTATGCTTGCTTCAAAAATCTTATTTCTTTCGCACTTCTGCCGATCATCTCTGGCCATGCTTATAACAAATTTTTTCAGTTTAACAACAGCATTTGCACAAGATTTGAGAGAAGATTTCGACAGTCATCTATGGGAATTCCTCGAATCGATAATCAGCTTGCTGGAGAGGTCGCATGAGAAAACTGAAATCCTCGAAACGGGCTTTTTTACGCTTGCCAAAATTTTCTGGTTGCAACGAAGACGTCTTGTGCGTGAATTACGAGAAGTGTTCCGGTAAGTGCTTGTCGCATTTGCCTTTATCGTCTGTTTTCTTTCAGAAGATTCGTAAATTTGATCTCTGGCAGGGTTGACCTTCTGCATTGTTGGTGTTGATCCTCTGTGCTTGAAGCGTACTGCTAGGAACGCTTTACCAGGATATGTCATACCAGTAAATTTTGCTACTGATATGATGGGCATGTTCTTATTTGTTCCATGCAGACGAGAGGATGGGGCGGGGGAGGGGATGGGTGGACAGTTGCCTTGATCTGGCGCGCAAGGGAATTTTTAAATACTTCCGAAAAAAAAAAGTAATTTACAGGCGATTCAAGCGATTATTTGCATGCAAGCGACTGTACATGCGTCGATTCATTGCCGAAGCTCTTGCCTTTCTTTTGCGCAAATCAAGTGCAATTGACAAAATCGTTGTTTTTTTGGCTGAAACTGTGTACGAGGTAGATTTTTTGTCTTTTGTCTTCCGTATATTTAATCTTTGTCCATTCACGAGCCAAATCAGAGTTTTGGGCCAAAGGCCAAAGATCATAATGCAGAGGAATTTGAAAGTAAATTTCATTCATTTCGTATCTTTCAAATGAAACTGCGCAAGTCTAATTTCTGTTTTCAAAAAGCAAAGAACAACTTATTATCAACACTTTCCGAAGAAGTATTTCTCAAATTGATGTTTTTGCTTGCAGGAAGCGAGCAGTTCGTTGGTGGATAGCATCGCACGGTTATATTTCAATGCACTGAAAATTGCAAAAGGACAGTTTCACAGTGCAGCGCCTCAGGCAAGTCCATTTTTTTTACCCCACAACTTGATTTGTTGCATCAGTTGGAACAAGTGTATTTGTCTGGACAAC